CCCGGCCGCGGGGGGGCGCGGGGGTGGGAGAGGGCGGAAGCGCGGCGGGGCCGCCCTGCGCGTGGCCGAGCCGGGCCTCCGTGCGGCTGGAGGGTGACCTGCGTGCCGTCCGCCGTCTGAGGGGAACCGCTGGGCGTCTCGGTCCGAGCGCTTCTCATAGAAACGCAGCGTCATTAAGGCTGGAGAAGACCTCTCAGATCATCCGGTCCAATTCCCAGCCCGTCCTCGCCGTGCCCACTGAACACGTCCCTCGAAGTCACATCTCCATGATTCTTGACCTTCCGGCTCTCTACAACTGTCCAAAAAAAACGTTGTGGTGTGGGGTCTGCCTCTTCTCCCAGGTAGCAGCAGTAGGATGAGAAGGGATGACCTCAAGTTGTACCAGAGGAGGATTGGGTTGGATATTAGGAAACATCTCTTCTCAGTGGTGATGCTGGGGCACAGGCTGCCCAGGGAGGTGGTGCAGTCACCGTCCCTGAGGGTGTTCGAGAACCATGGAGATATGGCACTGTGCAATGTCAGTGGGCATGGTGGGGATGGCTTGAGCCTGGACCGGATGATCTTAGATGTCTTTTCCAGCCTTCATGATTCTGTGATTCAAGCAGAGCTGCGTTTCATCTTCTCTCAGCAGAATGCAGAGATGCGAGTCGATGAGACATTCCTTCTCCTCTTTGCACACAATGCACATTTCTACTCTCCTAGCCAATATGCATACAGCATGTACGCACTGTTATGTCTCAGTTTAAAACACGTCTGCTTTAGCCACAACCCACCTCTGTGGGTTGTTTTCCAGTGTTTGGTGAAGAACTGTAGAACCTACAGTTCTACTTTGTACTTTCCTCCAGAAAAGTACTAAAATGGATATAGCTCATTAGCACTTACAGAAATGCCAGCTGTTCTTGCAAATCTTCTCGAATGGCCATACCTACACTTATATGTGCTTGGTTCCTAAAGCCAACGTCATCCTACCAACTTCTATTAGTGCCTGCCTGTTGTTCACTTTACCCAGAAGAAGCATGCGATGTAGTAAATGTTGTGGATTTATTTGAAGGAAATTACTCTGAAATCTTAAACTTGTGTCCTTCTGAGTGTCTTTCTCCAGCTTCCTGGCTTTCAAATGGTTTCTCTTGCTTTCATTTGGTATGTTTGGATGAAAGCTGCGCTCTGCTGTTAATACAGGCTGTGCCTGTCATCTCCTCTTTCAACAGAGATTTAGTCTCGCTTTCTAGTGCATTACTGCTATCTGTCTCTCTTCCTAGTTGCCTTATTCACCTAAAGATGTTTGGTCAATGCTCTCCTTACCAACACAAAAGATTTGTTCGCTGGTGAAAAGCTCCTTTGAGCTGTAAGTTGAGTATCACCAGTAAGTCAAGCCTGAGCCATTCACAAGCCCCCTTAACTCTAGTGGCTGCCCCATCAGATTTATAGGCTAAAACTCAAGTTACACAACCCGTTAGCGGCTCCAGCACTCAAGTGCTGTCAGTTCTCCCAGCGCTTTCCAAAAATCCCACATGTGTACCCCAAGAAATTGTAGCAGCGCACGGAAGTGGCCGCAGCAAGCATTTTGTGGTTGGAATCCTTTCAGGCGGCTTGAATGTAGATAATTCTGCAGTGAATATGTACTCTGAAAGAAATGAGCCACATCAAAGGTTGTAATGTCTGCAGAAAAAAAAAAAAGCAATAGTAAATAAAAACTTCTGCCAAAACAAGAAACGTTTAACTATAAGATGGATTGTTCTCATTCTGGATGAGCTGGGGAGCAGGGAGTTGGAACTGGGTTTGTAATAGAAAACATACTTCAATATTCGCATCCATCAGTTACAAAAATAAGGGCACTTATTTTTGTAACATTTGTAACATTTGTAACAGTTAAAGAATTTTAAATTATTTGAGATTCCCAATACAACTTCAGATTTTTTCCCTTGTGGATAATTTCACAACTGTTTTTTACATAGGTAACCTTTAAGTTCTTTCCATTTGCTATAGGTTGGTTTGTTTATATGGAAGGGCTTTTTTGCATGGTCTCGTTTACCTCTGTTTTGTTTCTAATGACCAAATCCCTGGAAACATTGCTGTTAATGTTATCTTAATAGTACCTTAATGCTCACTTACACAGAGATCTCTTAATCTTTTAGGAAACCTGTCTGACCAGATTTCTCAACTTCGCTACTCTGCAAGTGCACCAATTTGCCGCATCTCTTTATGTTAATGTTCTAAAAATGTGCTTATGTTTGTTGTGTTCTAAAATAACTTAAATGTTAGCTGCTTTGCCACCAGGAAAATGCACATTCCCAACACTTTCTTTAAAAATGCACAATCTTTTCAGGGCATCACATATACATACTCTATAATAATGTGCTCTGATGGGGCCGTTTCTTTTTTGTTTTGTCTCAGTGGCTCCTTATAACACACACTGTGTGCGAAGGTTGCTGTGGGCCAAAGTGTCCAGCCCTGTGCAGCACCACCTGCTTTGTGCTTTGTCACTATGTCACTAATGGAAGAAATCATTGCTTTTGAGTAGTAGAACAAAATTTGGAGACTGCCCATTGCAAAATGTCCTTTGACTTTCCAGATGTCCAAAATAAAATGCCTGTTAAAACAGTCAGGAAAGGTAGTTACATGGTAGCCCCGGGCACTTTCTAAACTAGCCTGAATCAGCCATGCAGCCAGCAGCAAAGCAAATGCTATCTGACTCATGGCCACCATGTGCAGAATCTTGTTCCAACAGGAAAGTTTCAGCATCTATGCAGCAATTGGGATAAAGAAAAGAATCCATCAAAAATACCCTCCCCAAAATCACCTCTTTTATCAGCAGATTCAGTTTATCTCAATTCAAAGTGCTGGTGGAAATGCCACTTTAGCTCTTATGACCTGCCCTTGCTGGCTAAAAGAGGGCGTAATTCAGGGAGTTTGTGTGAGAAGCAGCATACAGATAGCCAGACTTAGCTGCTCTTTATTAGCTCTTTCAGAAACACAAACAGAACAGTTTGTATTTGCTGTAGTTTTGATGCCTTCTTGGATGGCAGTAGATACTGAGAAAGAGGCAAATTTCTGTTTGCTTTAGCAAAGACATAATTTCATGGAATATGAAATATCATGCTCAGATAAGGCAAAACCTTCTGATAAGCTTTTACTGAAACTTCCTTTTCCATTCGCAGGGCAACCCATTTCTGTACAAGCAGAAGATTAAAGTATTACTATGTTTTACAGAGCATTTTTAGAACAACGTTGAGTCCTATGGTAAGCCTGTTACAAGTTGCTGTGGCAATGATTTGGCCAAGCAATGTTGGGTATCAGGAAAAAGTTCTTCACCAAAGGGCAGGGGGCATGGAACAGGCTCCCCAGGGCAGCAGGCTCAGCCCCAAGTTCTGGAGTTCAGGGATCATCTGGACAGCAGACATAGAGTCTGATTTTTGGGTGGTACTGTGTGCAGCCAGGAGTTGGACTCAATGATCCCTGTGGATTCCTTCCAACTTGAGATGGACATTCTGTGATTCCATGATTCTAGTGTTTGGGTGCCTCTGCCAGACCTAAAACACCACAGCCACTTGACTCAAAGCACAAATACATTCTGTCAAGACCCGTCTGTTCTGAGGTGTTATAAAGGGTTAATTTCATGCCTTCACACCTCTTGCTAGAGGTGGCATCTCCTGTTCACATCCCTGCTCCTTTGCCCTGGATCAGGCCTGTGTCCTTCTGTAGGCTGCACCAAGCCACATCAAACCAGCACAAACCCCAAAAACATACAATCTGGCTAACATGGTAGAAACATGATCACACAGCAGTCACATCTGATCCAGATAAAGCACGTATTGCCTGCAGTATGCAGCCAAGTGTGAGCAATTGCAGGCCGTAGCCTGGACATGGGACAGATAGCATGGGAACGGGTGAACAACTGGCTGACCAGCGTCTGTGATTCTGAATTGGGCAGTCATCTGCCTGAGTAAACAGTACAGAGCTAATTCAGACTCTGTGAATTTTGACGGAGCGTAGGGATTTGTTTTGCTTTTTCATATGTATGGTGGCTTTGGCTGAAGCTCTCAAACAGAAGAGCAGAAACTTGAGAGACATAGAAGCGTGAGCAGAAGCTGAAATTAAACGCTTTCAAAAGAGTCCCTGTATCCAGCAGTTCCCATTTATGTTACAGCTTCCAAAAGACTTCAAGACACAGCAGGGAGGGCCTCAACGTGATGAGTGCTGTAGACCATGCACACTTGAGTTCGCAGCTGAAAACTGTGTTAGAGGGCGTCATCACACCCAGGAATCCTAGCATCCAGTCCTGCACAGCCCTTCCTGCCTCCTAACGCGGGGAAACAAAGTTGCCAGGCACTATGTCAAGGCTAGATTAATTTCGTACTTGAAGTAAGTGCCACAACCTGAGCAGAGGAGCAGCTGCCACGCGTAAACCCAGTTTTAATCGCCTTTCTGTTATGGAAGCAGAAGTTGCGCTGGTGTAACTGGAGCCTCTCTACAGCAGCTGTATTTGAAGCAGGGCATCTTTTCTCTCAGGGGATCCCAGAGTAAAGAACAGTGCTTCTGGTATTTGACAACAGTTTCCTGGATGAGCAGTTGTTTCTTAAGCAATAGCCCTCTTTGTTGTTTGCCTTGCCACTGGCTAATTGACAGCGACAGGGATTATGTAGAGAGGAGAGAGCATGTAATGGGGACATCAAAGCCAATTATTGGGTAAGAGGAACAATAACGGAGGAAGGCTCTATTCAGAAAGAATACATGTTTATGTAGCGAGGCTCAGCCATTCTCACCGCGATCCGTTTTTTGTTTTTTTTCCCTTCCTTCCCAGCTCATGCTGCCTGTCTGTTCTTAATAACTCCTGCTGAGAAGAGTCTGGCTCATTCACGTCAGGTTCAGCAGTTCCACCTAATTTTCCAAACCACATCTGTTTTTAACCCACCAGCCACTTCTCACAGGGTTTCCTACGCCTGCTGGCTTGGAACATACACATTTGGCACGTTCACCTCATCCTTCATTACGTGCTCTCTTCCTCCTTCCCTAAGTCATTCCTTTCCCAGCCCAAGCCCATCCCCTGCACCTGCTGCAGTGCAAGTTCCAGAAAATATGGAACCCTGATATTGATCCCTATCTGATAGCAGGGACAAAAGGAGTCCCAGGAATGGACAGAAGGGAAAGGTACTCTGAATTGTGTGGCAGAAGTGGAAAAAGAAAAAAAAAAAACCCAAAAATCAAACAACAGTATTTCGCTGAGAATGCAGTATCACTTCATTAGTTCAGGTAACTGTTTACTCCAGCCCAGCTTCCCACCCTTTGCTGTTTGCACTGGTGTGACTATACTGGTGGAAAGGAAAATGTAGTCTAGGTAAACAACGAAAAAAACAAAAATGGTTTGGACTTTCCACTTCACCTCCAGCAAATTGTTTCATCGACAGAAACTATGTCTTAACAATGATTAAGAATTAACCAATGACCCCCTCTTGTGCACTTCCCAAGATTTACACAGGCTTTTCTGAAAGATGAACTCTTTGTGATGCTGTGGCTTCCAGTGCTTGTTAAGCTCCACAGGACAGAATACTCATTTACCATCTGGAAAAGCCCCTGCCCCTGGTTTTTGCATTTCTGCACGCAGGATGAGCGGTGGGGCTTCAGCAGTTTTAAGTCACAGTCTGCATCAGTACAATACCAGCTAAACGTGCCGATTGACCTAGATGGGCAATTAAGTTTCAAAACCCAGTTATGAATGCATTCCTTTTCATTCTTTACTCTTGAGTACCTGTCCAGCTGATGTCAGCCTAACAAAACTCTGCCCACAAGGTAAGAAAAGAAACAGGAAAAACCACATCGCATCCCTGCCCCCACATTTTCATCCCAGTGCCCATCCGGCAGCAGCCATTTCGTCCCAGTGGACTCAAGCAGCAAGGCAAGTTGTTATGGAAAGTAAGCTTGTGTAGGAGGGAGAAAGCCTATTAGTGAGAAATTAGGGCAATTAACGAGATGAAGTTATTTGGGGATTTCTGAGCCAGTCACAGAATGCCTCCCTCCCTGATTTACTTAACTTCATTCTTATCTTTGCACCTTTATGGGGTGCTATAGTAAGCAGTTTCGTAAACCAAACAGGATCTGGAGGTGCACCCAGCACTGAGCCAGCGAGACTGTGAAAATGCATGGTTAGGTCTACAGCCAACATTTCATGACAATGATGGAAAGAAAGTGGCACTGACAGCCTGACCCAGCAGCTGAATGTATATGCTGCTCACTTAAGTCACGTACAGATTTGGAGCATGCTGCAGATACAGAGCACAACAACACTCAGATTTGGAGCATGCTGCAGATACAGAGCACAACAACACTCTTCGCTGCATTGATTGGCTTTACCAGTGCATCCAACATCATTTTCTAAAGATCTCTGGCTGTTTTCCAAAGAATGCTGTCTGTTCCTTGCAATATAAGAGTCAGCATCTGTCCAAATCCTAATTTCTCTTTAGCAGCTGCAACAGCTTAACTAAAGGGCAAGTGTTACTATCTTGGGCATAACTGCTTTCAAGATTCAAACACAGCCTTCCTCTCCCAATTTCTTTGCACTGTTTCACCTCTGCTCACTCAGTTAGAGCCTAATCCACAGCTCCTTGTTAAAAAAAGGAACACTCCACCTATTAAGAAGGACAGCATGTAGATTTAACCAAACAAGTGCACCGAGAGAGTATCAAACCCACACAGCTTGGCTGGCTCTGTAAGATCATTAAGAGAACATGGAATTTGTTTCCATAAGAAAAGTAGCATTTCACTGCTGACAGTAGGTGTCAGCAGCAGGTGCCTGTCCATTGGTGTTGAACAGGACATCTCTGCCTTGAAAGCAAAGGCAAAAACAGCTTTCTGAGCTGCTTCAGCTTACTTTGAGCAGATTCTGACCTCAATTTCCAAAATAAATCAGCTTGTCAGTCTATGTTTCCAACCACATGAATTTCTCTACCGATCTAACTTCACCTGTTATTGATACAAGTACTTTGCAAGCTGTTTATCAAATTACAAGGAGCTCTAACCAGATCCAACCTTATCACACAGAAAACTTGTCGCAGTTCTAAGTATCTTGTTCTCATTGAAGTAGTGAGGAAAGCACTGTCAGTATTATGCAAACCCACAGAAATAAAGTACTCCTCTTCTTCAGGTACAAAATAAAATGCTGATAAAATGTTCTGATTGTGAAGATCAGCTTTGTAGAGCCATTCTACTTCAACATATTTCAGCTACGCTAATCACAGCATTTACAGAAGCATATGGACTCTCTAAACACACACCTGCCTGCAGGTTTGTTTGTTGTTGTTTTGTTGTTTTAAATAGTGTGCCTATCAAGTGGCTGAGCTAGCACACCCTAGGCCAGCTGCCTGGCCATAGAATTCTTAGTCATTTCTAAGGTAGGACAGAAAGGCTGTTATCAGGTCTACTAGCTGATAGTACATCAGCCCTTAATCTGCCTTAGTAACTAGCTGCCAAAAAGCACTCATCTGTCTGAAGACTGAAACAAGTTCTTTTTACAGCCATAATCTCCACTGAGTTCAATTCACTGCCTATAAATTTGTTTGCTCTATTGATTTTTCTCTCAACCTTCTGCAGCCATTCACATCTCAATGCACTTTTTGCAAGTACTTGTCACTTAATTACTGAAGAAACATCGACACTCAGCAGGAAAAGAGGGAACTATTGAGACAGAAGACAGTGGGAGATAAGAAACACAGGCTGTTGATCATTTTCACTAGCATTGGCCAGAAGGCAGCTACAATACAAAAGTAGCTATTAGAAAGTTACTGGCTACTACTGTAGCCAGAAAGAATATTGGAAAATCGAGAGCATCAGCTGCAGAAAAAAAGTTTCCAATAGACATGACAAGACACAGCCTCTCCAAAACAGCACTTTACCCCAAACTGCCCTCGTATGTAAGGAAGGAGAACAAATGCCCGACTGTTTCATTACATATAACATGAAACAACGTTTTCTGTTGGTACAGACTTCATCTCTATTAGGGGTGTGTGTGTGTGAGTCTTGCTGTCTGTAGACAGCTAGCCTACCTCTGTGACAGAATCTCTGGTTGATAAGTATTCTGAAGACTGACAACTATGGTCAACTTGCTTTAATGAGGTGGCAGAAATACAGCAATTACAATTGCCCCTAAGTGCAGAATGCAAAAAGGTTGCATTGTCAGTTTTTATATGCCCGCGCAGGCAGGCATTGCTTGCTACTTTGTTCTAGCAATCCATCAGTGAAACAGCATCTACTGCTGGAAATTCTGCCACACAGCTTTACTTCTCTTCTGAAACATAGTGATATGAAGTTATGAACACAGAACATTAAAAAAAAAGCACAAAACACACCATCTCACTTTGTTGAGAAGTCTAACACAACCTTGCACTCAAAGGAAAGAGCAAGCTGCATAGCAGGAGCCTGCTGAACTAGCCAGATGTGACTTGGGAGTTGAGTCACAAGACAGTGATAGAGAATACTTATCTCTGTGTGCCTATTTTCTTTCATCACATGCTTTAGAGGAAGTCGGCTGTAAAACCAGGAGCTTCATTCCTGTAATAAGCTTTGGCTTTGTGTGAGGATATAAGAGTATTAGCAGAACTATTTCCAAGTGCAAAGTAGAATTGCAATTATTATACAAAATGGTTTAACACTTTAGAGATCCACAAATGCCTTCCAATTATGAAGTTAAGAATGTTACCAAACTCTGTGCAGGAGCAAAAGGCAGACATTCAGGAAGGAAGACCAAGTTCACATGTGAATATGTACTCTTAGCTGCATTCCACGAGTCCTTCTTATTCAGGAAACTCACCAATGTCCTGGACGTTTCGATCACAGAAGCTTTGAAGCTGAAATTCACAGGCCTCAGTTTAAATCTTATATTGCTAATGCAGCCCAGATTGGTAGGCCATGACTCTAGCAAGAGTTGACACATTTGCAATATAAGAAGCAGATCTGTCAGCTCTTGTCCCAGCCTAGATTCTTGCTATATCCACAACCAAGAACAAAAACAGCGATCATAACTTCAACCTGACCTTGTAAAACTAGGAACTTATTAACATGACAGAGCTTTTCTACAGACTTGAAAGTGAAACTGTGATTTACAAGAACTCCTTAACTTCTTTAAACGGTTGAATATTTTGTTACTGAAAACTCAATCAATAGAATAACTACTTGCAGTATTGCTTTGTTGAGATGAAATGCACAGCTTACGAGCTCCACAGCTGAGGGTAAAGGATGTTATTACACCGATCAAGAAGTTGCTGAGACATGATCAACTCTGAAAAAAAGCCAGTGCCATTCCTGCAGGCTTTGAGCTACTGCTTTAAACACAAAAATGCTCTTTATTCACTTATTTTTATTACTTTATCAAATAGAAGTGAAAAAATATCGTAGAACAAGTTCAGCAGACCAGCGCAACTCATCAGGTTTATGCATGAAAACAGACATCATATAGATACAAATACACATGAAAAAAACATCCAAAAGATTTAACAACATGTAATTATTGAGATCACTTCAACCTCCCCAATTAGAAAAAATCCAGTTTCATTGATAAGCAATTAGTTGGTGAATAGAGTACTGACTGTAGTAAGTTTCAGCTCAAATTACAAATAAGCAAGAACTCCACAAATGAAATACATTGCTATACTTGGCTATAAAGATTTATCATATGCTCCTTCTCACAAGGCAAAACCTCCCATTATGCCCTTTTTGCATTTGCAATGAGCATCTTCAGCTTATCATGCATTGGACAGGCCATCAAGCAGGAAAGACAGGAGCTAAGCCAGTTCACAGTAGACATTTTTACAGCACTACTAACACCCGCAGTAAAAAGAAAATAGCAACAGGAGCAAGGCATCTGCAGTCACCTTAATTTAAATTGCCTCAGTCTTCCAGAAGAAAAATCCAAATTAGACAAAGAATCATAGAATCGTTTGAGTTGAAAGGGACTCTTCATGGTCATCTGGTCCAACTCCTGGGCAATGAACAGGACACCTACAGCTACAACAGGTCGCTCAGAGCCCCATCCAGCCTGACCTTTAATGTCACCAAGGACAGGGCATCCAGCAAACCTCTGGGCCACGAACCATACTGTTTCACTTCGGGCTATATTCAGGCTAGAAGTGCCCCAGATTCACATGGGTGCTTAGATAAACTCTAAAACATGGTGAAGCTCAAGTCTGCATGTCTTGGCCCCAATAATCATACAGCTCAGAGAAACATTAACTTTGTTCTCTCTAGAAACATAATTTTACTCCTATCCACTAAGGAAAACCCTCATCCAACTAGGTGATTGCACTTAGAATAATGTTCATACAAATTTTAAAAGACATGCAGAAGTAGTTTCAAAGAACAGCAACCTGTAGGTTTTAGCACGATTCGACATTATGCCTTTCAGACTCTGGATCACAAAAACCAAGCCCACTAAATGAAATTAAGCCCAGAACAATAAACTGTTTACCATAATTCCTCATAAGCAACCGTAACATCATCTATCTCAATCAGGATGAGTTCATTTTTTATTTTTCAAGAATCTGTTGTGGTGAAAAGCAATAGTGGAGGATCACATTTCCACATGGGAAAGAGAGCAGTTTTTTGCCTTGTCCTTCATATCTCTTCTCACAGCTGCTACTGCTAATTAAAAAGTGGTTAGTACAGTCTAATCACTCAGATGTAGTAACATCAAGGATTTCATCTCCGTTTTGTGCCACCAAATCCTGCAAAGGATAAAAAAATGTCACAGCTCCATCACAGCCATTCCAATTGGCTCTCTGCAATTCCCCAAAGGGTAAAGCTCCTAAATAAGTCAAACTTGTGCAAAAATTACAAAAGGAAGCATTAGTTGTGGACTGACAGGCCAGAAAAATATTCATTGCAGACAAACTTCTTTTTGTTGTTTTGCTTCGTGTTTGTATGCTTGCTAGAGAAAGGCATGCATCTAAGGCATGTCCCAAAGGAGAAAGTCTTAAATTAACCATGCAGATAAAGACCATCCTAATATAGGTGTTACTATGCTTACTGTAGGTATCCACACAATGCTGCTCTGCTTCTATGATAAAAAGATGTAGGAAACAGTTATGTGCCCATCTGTACTCAAGTCTTGACCAGAATAAAACCAGGAATGCTTGCTGAACCTCACATAACATCTGTGCATTTTGGGCAGATCAAAGTTTCTCAAGCTTTAGGAGGTTAAAAATTCTTGTGGCTTACCAGATGCAGTTCTTGTACTGCTGCCTTGTGTGGAATTGCTGGACTGTCTGTACACTGGAGGTACAGCTGTGGGATCTCCCCATGTATTGAAATACGAGGAACGTGGCTGTGCTCTGATGAGAAAAACAGGGTGGAAAGAATTCATTAGTGACGTTTTGAATAATTAAGGTATAACTGCACCAAACTTAATCAGAGAACTTAATCAGAGGGAGAATTGTAAGCAAGCATATTTTCCAAACATAGAAACCTCCCTTTTTAAAGGAATTAAACCCTGACAGCAGGGATAACATCTGCAGAATTTCAAAAGAAAGTTGAACTTCATCCTTCAGGACACCTTCAGACAATTGCAAATAATAAATCCTCTCTTCTGAAAATCTGACCTCAGTTTCTATCAGACAGGAAAGTTTACTTGAGATTTTAAGTTAAAATAAGTTAAAATATATTTGGTATTACCTATATCCCTCCCACAGAAGGGAAAAGAATACATACCTCTGCACTGTTAACTACCTTCTAAAGATAGGATCAGTAAGACCAATGCATCACGATCTTCAATTCACTGATTTGTTTCTACAGATAATGATTTCATTAGCAGGGGTGGGAGGAGGGGAGGAGCATGTAGAAGAGGAGGAAAAAAACCTAAAAACAGTGGACCAAGGACTGTTTTCAAAGAAAAGAAGCCCGAGTTAGAAAGTTTGTTCAGGTGTTTGGACTCACACGTTTTCAGGCCACTAATCTTAAATAAGAGGCCACTAAAACTAGGGGGTCTCTCATCAAGAGACCTGTATGTACAAAATACATACAGTGCTTAAATAGAAGTATCACATATTAAAATACTTAACTATCAAGTCAAGAAACCTTCAAACGTATCCTAACTTTTTAAAAATCCTTAGTAATGTTAGCACAGTAGAACAAGATTGACTTTTTATCCATAACCCTTTAAAATTTTACTTAAAATGAAATTATAGACTATTTCTGCTGTTGATGAGTCACTGTCCAGGTGCACGCTGCTTGACTTTTGAGACCAAGACTGCACAACAAACACTTTATACCTCAAATGTTCACTTCTTAATAAAGGGACAATCTGATAAGTCTCCTGTTGTTTCTAGGAAAATACATCACACAGAGAAGGAAAGACGCTTCACCACTCCTGCCCAACTTCCCTTATTCCCAGTCCTAAGAACTAAAAGCAATTATATTGAATTTGTTATATTATTAGCTTCCTAGAAGATTAGGCTTGACATACGTGCAGTTCTTTGGCAATTACAGGAAAATGCTTGAGTTCTGCAAAGTTGCTGCAGAAGCCATGTATTTTTCTAGTGGAGGCTAAAACTGCAGCAGGGTTGGCCTCTTCTCTCGTGTAACTGGTGATAGGACCAGAGGGAATGGCTTCGAGCTGTGCCAGGGGAGATTTAGGCTGGACGTTAGGAAATAGTACTTCTCTGAGAGAGTGGTCAGGCAGTGGAATGGGCTGCCCAGAGGGGTGGTGGAATCACTGAACATGGAGGTGTTCAAGGAACGTTTGGATTTTGTGTTGAGGGATAAGGTTTAGTGAGAACTATTGGTGATAGGTGGATGGTTGGACTGGATGATCTTGTAGGTCTTTTCCAACCTTGGTGTTTCTGTGATTCTGTGATTCAAATCCCCCCCCTTAAACTGTTTCCTGAAGAGTGATGCATGTTTAATTCTTCAAAGCATATGGCAATGACCAGTAGCTATTTACTTCAGCACTGAAATGGCTTTTGAATGTCATCCATGTTATGTTTTTCCAAAAATGCAACTTACACATGACTTACAAGTCCTCTGGAAAACTACATTTTGGATTTCAATACACGGGTCATTAGGAGACTGGAGAGTAAAGGCCGTTCAGTTTGATTGCACTAAGTATCGCAGAAGAGCAAGTGTCAGCCATACTAACTTCAGGAGAGATGACACTGACACAAGAGAACTACTTACAAGTGGCTTTGTGCTTCATATTTTTATCTGTATTTTAAAGCAGTATGGATATGGACTGCTCAAGATTTGATTTTAAAGTTGCAAGTCAGGTCAGAGAATGCACTTAAAGTAGAATGAAGAACCTCAAGAACTTCAAATCTTTCTCCTCAAGAAAGGTGTTCAGAATGTTTGTGCTGCTAGAGCTACAGATCGTACCTCAAAGCTGTTCTAACAGTAGGATTATACAGCCTGAATGATATACACCTGAAAACTCACAAACAACATAAATGTAAACAATATGCCAGCTGAAATCCTGTATGTTTAATATCTGACAGCATTCTATTTTACCTCTGACTGCCAGCCAAGTAGCCCAGCAAGCCTCCTGCTCCTAAGCCAGTCCAAAATCCTGGTCCTGAATTGGTTTCATGACTGGAACGAGTCCCAAAGCCGTTGTCTTCTTAAGCCAAATGGAAAATAGAAAAAGTATCAGTTAATAGCACTTACTCCTCAGGCTGTCGCAATAAGATTCTCACCTCTTAAACATAATAGCAAATTAGACACTAAACTCTTTTGTTTTCAATTGATTCTTGATTAAGCTTGTATTGAAAGGTGCCCTTAAAGTTTGGAAAGCAGGGGGAAGAAAAATAACAAACAGAAGCAAGCTAACAGAGGTAAAGATTTTTACACCAGAAATTAGCTTTCACTGTATCACAGTCTCCATGTTTACAAAACACAGTGAAGTCAGATCGTGCAGATTTCATAAACAGACAAGTTAGATTAAAATTGGAAAGAAAGTGAAGAAAGACTAATTTGCTCAAGCAGGCAGACAGGGGAACAGAAATCAAGTATCATAAAGCATCACAGGAAAATAATCCTGACTTACATTATCAGTTGAAATCAGACTTCTATGTGTGACTTGATGTTGGATTTCATTTTGAATGCACTAAGACAAAGATAAGCTCACCTTGGATAACACACCCATTAAACTATGCTGTGTTAATCAGGGAGATAAACGAGCTAATTTACTCAAAAGCAGCATGGCTGAACGCTGATTCAGAAGTCAATCTTTTTTGTTGATAAAACCTAGAGTAGATTCAGGACCACATCAAACCACTAATACAAGAAAGTAATTAATACAGTCTAGCTAAATGATTTCACAGGAAATATTCTGTATGCCAAGGGAATTTGAAATGAAGCAAATTAAATATTCAGATCAATAAGCAAACTACTTCACTTTTCATTATCATCCCAATTTTCAAAAACAGATGTGTGCCTGATACAGTCCTATACACTCTAAGGCATGCTTTTGCTCCACTGTTAAAACTAAAGGCAGATAATTTATCCTCACATGGCTCCCAACCAAGTTTCTCAATTTTCAAAATCAATAAAGAAAAGGTATTTTCAAGGCTCTATTCTTGCTAGATTTCAGACTCCTGTCCACCTAAAGCACATTAGTTGAATTAATTCACAAGGAACAAGGCAGGAAAAAAAAGAAAGCAATCCTTCCCTTTAAAACTAAAGCCACACGCACACTGAATGTTTACTTTGGTTTGCCTATGTCCAGTACAGCAGAACTCAGTATTGACCACAATACCACCAGAGGCAAGTGGCACGCATACACAAGTCTACTCACTGGTGCACACACAGAATAGAAAGGCTGTCTGAAATAACCATTTTGAAATCAAATTGCAAAACTTACTAGTTAACACAGAATCATAACCCAACCCCAATTTTCTGCTCCAGGTATGTAAGAGAAAGCGCTGCAAACGCGCCACACAAGTTTATCAAGAAGAGCTATGCTGGCACCCCCTGTTGGCAAGTGGCATGAGTAACCTGCACAAAAGCGTTAACATTCGTTTGTTAATATTATTCAAACATGAGCTTTTGACTAAGTAATCTTAATTCTTTCTAGCTATTGCTTGGTAGGACCACTCCTCTAATTCACAATAAAAATAAAAATAAAAAAAACAGGAAAAAAATTGAGATCACATGTCTTGTTGCAAGGTAATTTGAGTTCTAGTGCCATCAGGATCACACATTTGTAAGGTTAAACAGTCGGACACCAGATGACTGAGTTTCACTTGCTGTTGGTACTATAACTATCGATCACAGTGACCAGTTTTCTGGGAAAAGAAAAAAGCTGCATGTTTTCCTAGCAGTCTTGCCACTACTTCTACAATTTCCAATTCCAAGTGAAAGACACCACGCAAGATGCAGGTCCAGCATAGACTGTTACCTGCTCTGGGAACTAAATCGTTTGACCACTGAGACTATAGCAAACCACGTGTTAAACTGAGGATTGCTACATAATATTCATTTCTAGCAAATTATTTATGAAGAAGCCAACAGTCAGGTGAGATAACACAACAGCTGAAAGAACATCCCGAAGTTAAGATCATGTTTGTTTCAGAGCACTAAATAATGGCTTACAGTCCTACCTGTGGAGCTGAACTTAAAACCAGGAGGAGGAGGCGCCTGATGACTCTGCCAGAAAGGACGAGCGAATCCGCCACCGTCACCAAAACTCTGCTGGGGCTGTTGGTTACTAAGGAAAAACTTGTATACGCCAAAGGCAAGGATCAGTAGAACAATTACAAAAATTGTTCCAGCACCAGAATGAGAAGAATCCTTTGTTGATGTGTAATAGCCAGAACCAAAGCCTCCAGAGTTCTTTGCTTTCCATTCACCTTCCTTCGTCAGCTCTAACCTGAACAGCAAACTGCAGGACCCTCTTAAGATGTAAGGATCATCTGGGTAATTATAGCCTTCACAGCTCACTTCAATTTGTCCAAAACGAAGAGTGTCTTCCAAGTCCGCTTTGCACTGCCACTATAAAGTAAACACAAAATCAAGTAGCAGCTATTTCTCCAGGGATGAAAATATCTGCCTGCATTCCCAAATGTATGCAGACAAAGCTGTAATCTACAAGGAAGCATATAAAAAGTAATAGAATAAGGAACTTCTGAGCTCTCCTATTCTGAAAAGGGCTTGGAATCTGAGAATAGCTAGGAACGTCTTTAAAATCTCTAGAAGTTAAGTGATTTAATTGTTTAGAACACAAGAGTTATAAGTCAATTTCTTCACTGGACAAGTTTTTCAAGTATTCCTTTTCTAGGGTACAGCAGCACTTCTGAAAATAATCCATCCAGTCTATGACAGTTACTTAAGAAATGTCTCACCCATGCAGACCTGATGACAGCTACAAAAATAGACCTTGGAAGCCTGAAAACCAATGCACATGATTATATTTACGTTCAGACCAATATAAAAAATAAATCATGTTAGATATAACTAGGGATTCAATGGTGACAATTAGCAATAGACTGTGATTTTGCAGCTGAATATACATGAATTTCTCAGTTTCAGATTCCCTTGAGTCATCTGAACTTTGGTATGAACAGTACCTGTAACAAATACCCACTTAGAAAAATGCAGCATTCCATTAACAATTCCATATAGCAGTACCCACTGCAAATTCCGAGTGGGCTGTACTTTTATGATACTATATCAATTACAACAATAAACTTCAGTTTTGATTCCTGGTCAGTCTAATGGCAGGAGGGTAGGTAGTGTCAAATACAACAGCTCTTTATTGAAATGCCAAAGTAAACTACTAACACACAAGAGCAAGCCATAGAACCATTTGAGTTGGAAGGGACTCTTAAAGATCATCTGGTCCAAGTCCCCTACAAAGAATAGAGATGCCTACATCAGGTTGCTCAGAGCCTCATCCAGGCTGAGCTTGAATGTCTGCGGGGATGGAGCATCCATTATATCTGTAGGCAAACTCTTGCAATGACTCATCATCCTGAAATCTAATTAACTTGGAAGTCATAAAAGCTTCAAAATATTTTTTTTTTTTTAAGGGGCAGAAGTGACATAATTAAATATTTGTAATCCTTTATGTTCTAGAAATTGTGAATACATTGGTCAATACTGAAGCAAGGGCATTCTCAAAGGTTTGGTTGTATATATTCAAACAACATTTCAACTAATGCCAATGAAGGTTTGACTGGCAGTGCTTTTACATTAAAACCTTCATGGATAATCCATTAAAAAATTATATATATATACATACACATACATGCACGCACACACAAATAGTGTATTCCATATTTAGGGTAACCTTTAGTTGCTCTCTAGTAGAAAGAAAAGCAACGCTCTGGCCGGTTGCTTTCTCTTTCTCTTTCACAAGTTACCAGCCCTGTATGAGGACGGTGCCATATCAGTTTAACTGACTTTAACCACTGTTACCTGCACGTCGTAGCCATCCCAGCCTTTGTTGTAGCACTGAACAACCTCAGGGATATCAGAGCATCCAGCACTGCCTCCAGTGCACTGAAGCTGAGGGACCGCAGCCGTTCGCCGGGCTGTGGTGTAGCGGCCCCGGTGCAGAGTGAGCACCTGCACGTCCCGCAGCAGAACCCCTGCAATGGGCAGCAGAGATCAATACAGCCATATACCACCATCCTACCCTTGAAGGCAGAGGGAAATCGCACGGAGCTCTCAACGCCCCCCAACGCGTTCTGCCCCACCCGTTGCCACGGCCGAGCCAGCAGCCGACCTGACCGAAGAGCCCCTCAACCCCCTCAACGAGAGGCCTTCCCACAGCCTCCACTCCTCAGACCCTCGCCCCGTTTTCACAGCAATAGAGTAGTGGAAAAAAGGCGGCCGCAGGCCCGCAGCTCCTTCCACCAGAAGGCCCCCAGGCACACTCCGAGTCCCACAGCTCTCACCTTGGTGCTCCCAGCCCCACGCGGTGCCGGCAGCAGTGCAGAGGAGCAGGAAAAACGCAGCAACTGCCCCGTCAGCCGCCATGACAGCTCTAAGGCACACCCACACGACTCAAAGCTCTTCCCGGTGCAGGGCGCTGTTCATTGGCCGGCTGCGCCGGAAGGGGCGGGAACGTGGGTCGGAGCACAGCCAATGGGAACGGGAGGACAGCGGAAATGACTTGCGCACCGCCCTCCTCTTCCAGGGGTGGGGTGGTGACGTAGTTCCGTTTCCCGGCAGCGGGACGCGCAGCGCCATGGCCGGCATCAAAGGTGTGTGGGGTGGGAGCGGCTGTAGCCCCCAGGCGTCTGGGGAGGCAGGGTGAGATCCGACCCGTGCGCGGTGCTGGCGGCTAAAGCGGCAGGGCCAGCCCGTCTCTGGGGCTCCTCTCTGGTTGTTTGCAGGCTGCAGCTGATCGCAGTGCTCACCTGTTCTGCGTTTGTGTTTCCGCAGCTCTGATCAGCCTGTCCTTCGGGGGAGCGGTGGGACTGATGTTCCTGATGCTGGGCTGCGCCCTTCCTCAGTACAAGTATCGTGTCTGCTTTTTGTAGCTTCGTGTTCTTTGACACGTCTGATTGCAGAGTGGTTTGGCTCATAATTAATGAGTGATTCATCTTGTGTGTGCGAGAGGCTTGTTTCTACGCTGGGTAAAGCAACATCTCACACAGCTGCAGCTGCTGTCAGTCTGCTTGTCCTATTGATTGCTGTCTCTGCTTCCTAGAGGCAGGAAGCAGTAGACGAAGAGCATGGAAAGTCAGCTCAATGGTTTTAACTCTTTGCAACTTAAGTCAAAATCTTCCTTATTGACTTATTCAATATGAGATAAATATCAAATTTTCTAGTTGTCATTTACAGTTTTCCATGTACATGACTAGCTCTCCTATGTCAGCTCTCTTCTATTATAAAATCTGGGCCGGTGGCACAAACTCTTAGCAATGAGATTATTACACTGTCATACTTCAAATAACACGATTTAAGTTTCACTGAAACCATGCATAGCTACATTGATGTGCCTGGTGAGCTGTGGGCAATAAAAGATATGATGTTGGTTGAAAAGATGAAGCAAAAAAATACATATCTAGTGGTTTGGAGCTCTATGGCTTCTGAGTATTGGCAGAAAACAATACTCTGATCCCATGCGTATACTCAAAGTTTACATGTGAAAATAAGCTGAAGACTTTGCAAAGGTCTCTCTGCAGTTCAGAAGTAAAGCTGACAGGTTAAACTTAGCTCTTAAGATCATCATGCAAGGTAGTGTTAGATTTAGGCTTGCTCAGTGAAACCTTGCTTCGTGAACATCTGAATGAGGTCTCTGTTGCTAAGATTGAGGTCAGCTGGAGCATGGCATGTTGGATTAATATAATTTTATTTCGAATTGAAGGGATTGCTTTGCTTGGGCTTGTGCCTATCTTTCCCAAATACGGGAACTGAATGGGGAAAATACCTCACATTGATTTTTGGGAAGAGCAGATAGTAAACAAAGTTAACGTTAACTTTCCTTCTTTCTTTTTCAGCCAATACTGGCCACTGTTTGTTCTGTTCTTTTACATCCTTTCCCCTATCCCATACTGCATAGCAAGAAGACTGGTAGATGACACAGATGCTACGAGTAACGCCTGCAAGGAGCTGGCTGTATTTCTTACAACAGGCATTGTTGTCTCAGCATTTGGACTGCCTATAGTGTTTGCCAGAGCAGAACTGGTTAGTAACGTTTCAATCTCTGAAAATATTCTTTGCTAGAAAACTTTTTTTTTTTTAATTAAGTGAAGGTAGAACTTTCATGCACTGTGCAACTGTGCAATAGTTGCCAGTAGCTTTATGTGGTCGTGGAATAAAGTCAAACATCCAATGTGCAATGCAGAAAAAAATGAGCAAGAAAACTTAGTAGGCCAGTAGCCAAATACAGAAGTTCACAGAATACCTTGAAGGCAATTTGTAGAATAGTTGAGTTAAAGAAGACTGAGTATAACAGTGCATTTTTTTAAGAACATGTGATTTTTTTTTTTTTAATCTTCTGATTTGTCATTATGTCTTTCCCAGTGCATGACGTTCCACTAGCATCCTTTAAAAGATGACCTTGACTTGAATTTCAGAGAATACTAAATCAAAAACTATGGAATGTACATCTCAGTCAAGAACAGCCCAGCCAGTCAGTTTGAATGCCTCACACCCTTTGGCTACTCTCCTTGGGAAACATTCACCTCTTTTTTTTTTTTTTTATACAGCTTTTTGTTACTGTTACTTGTGCATCTCCTGATGTTTTATAGGCCTCCATCCTTGGCTGTCTTTATAAACAAACAAACCAAAAACCCAACAAAAAAAACCCAAAAAACAACCAACAACCTCCTGTGGCTAGGAAGTATAGCTGAGCTCTGCAATAACTTGATGCTGTTGCCTAGCCTCACATTACTGTTTCTGGATGTAAGACTAAGTGTCCTTGCCTGCTAGCTGGCACTTTGAACGAGGCTAGAAGAAAGTGTAGTGCTGCTTGATTGACCATGATTTGGTCAACCCCTTTAAAGGTAAGCCGAACCCAGCTTTCTCGGCATAATGAGGTACCATTGTCTTTCATCATGGATCTGTTGCTGAATTTTTGTCTATAACATGACATGAAAATGTTACATTTTGTCTTGTCAGTGTTTTGTTCAGGTATATCTAACTAAATTCCACTTGTTCACAGATTTACTGGGGCGCATGTGCACTTGTTCTTACGGGGAATACAGTCATCTTTGCTACGATCCTAGGATTTTTCTTGGTCTTTGGCAGCAACGATGACTTCAGCTGGCAGCAGTGGTGAAAGGAAGATAGAGAACTATCACAGACATCTTGTCATTCAGTGGCCATCCATACAAATGAGAGAATGGGCAATAAAGAGAAGTAGTGTAGCAAGCCTCTCCAGTATTCTAGACACTCCTTTTTCACCTTGTTTGTTCTGAGTGTACTACCATTTTGCTGATGGGTTTCTAAGTTTTTATCAAGTAAGGAGATAGCCAATTTCATTTTTACCTTTAGTATGTTTTAGGTGGTCTCTTAGTTTGTCATTCTTGTTCTGTTCAGTGTTTATGTGAAGCTTTAATGCTGAAACAAGAATGTTAAACTTGCTTTGAAACCATGTTTTAAAGTTGTTTCATTTTAGCATTAATACAGTGCTTCATTTCTTCTAATGTGGCAATTAAATTATATACAAACTGAACTAAGGTAAGCAATTGTACACACCACTGTCAGTTACAGATACACAGCTTGTTATGATTTTAGAAGAGGCAAGGGTGGGTGTGTACTAGTTACAGACTTTTTCTTCTGCCCGTACCTCAAACTGGGTGATGAATGTTGGTAGCCTCTATTTAAGGAAAAGGCTGAGAAGCAGGTGGAGTTATTTGGGAAAAGTCCTCAATTTAAGCACCGCTAGCACTTCACCTGCTTCATTACCGATTTTTGTGTGGATGTGACATTCAAATACTCTGTAAATGTGGTAATATTATGACATGCAAAACCAAATTACGTTGTAGGGGGAGGGGAAAAATGATATATAAATTCCATTTTTTTTAAAACAAACATCTTTTGAATTCTATTTATAATTATTGTATTGTTTTGAGCTTTTATGTCAGCTTTTTACCATGAAGAGGGTAAAATGTTCATTTATGGAACTACTGCTACATGTTAATTTGAAGCATATACAAAACTTTTCCCCTTCCTCTTTTTAATTTATTTTATACATACTATGAATGGAATAAAACTTTTCAAATGTAAATTAAAACTTTATGTTAAACTTGTTTAAGAATTTTTTTTTTCTTTCCCCCCCCTACACACACTTTTATTCCTTCACACAGTGCTGCTGCTGTATGACTTTTGGAAGTCACTGGCTGAACTGGCTTTACTGACTGTTCATAAGTTCTTATGCGCTTTGAGTTAATAAGATTTAATGTTATGTCTGTAATTTAGACTTGCGTTCTGTAAGATTACACATGTATCTTCAAGTACTTAAGACATTTTTAGCATACTTTTAGCATACCTCTCAACTGTCTGAATTTTTTCATTAAAGACATTTGCCATTAGACATTTCATCTTGAGATAGTGAACGAGTGCTAGTTAACCAAGTTCAGTTGTACCACAAACACTGGTAAACTTGACCAAACCTACTGCTAAACTATATTTTAAAAAGTTCTAAGAAATTCACTGTGCATAAAAGCTGCTGATTGCTTAGATATTACATAACAGTGGAGCAGAATGAAAAGGCAAAGCATAGCAGGCCTTAGCTGTAATGTTTGTACACAGATGTAAATAAAATACAAAGCTTGAGTATCTGAATACAAATAGTAATCATGGCAACTTGTTTGATAGGACCATGAAACTTCTACCAGCAAGTAGGGGCAGCACTGCTACTTTGTTAATGTCATCCTGTGTATAAAATCAGAGCTCAATTTTATCCATACCAGTAGAGGAATAAATAGGTGTCAAGTGCAGAAGCCAGTCAGCACCAGGAAATATTTCAGCCATGACTAAGTGCTTCACCAAACTGGCTGCAATGGTGACATTCAAAGATGATGAGGGGCTGTAAAATCATTCATTTCCTGACCTTTTTTGATGACGCTTCTGCATCTCCAACCCCCAAGCAATAGATTCTTCAAAAGAATCTTCTAAACTACTGGCTAAGTTGGCAGTCTTCGCTCTTCCAAAGGAAGAATGCTTCAGATTGGCACAAATCTGAGTTTACTGTCTCCTGGTCTGTGGTTAGTAGGATTGGTTGAATCGATCACACAGTTTCTGTGCTGCTAGCCTGCTTCTCAAAGGTAATGCTACTCAGAATTCTCAGGCTGTAGAACCATCTGTGTCCTTGTTGGACTTTTTTTTTTTTTTTTTTTTTAAATGTTGCAGCATAACATTCTTTCACTTGCACACCAACTTCACTCAGCCCAGCTCTGCTTAATGAGCCAACAGTTGAGAGGTGTGATCTTCCCTCATAGCAGGCACTGAGACAGCATTGCCACCCTATACAGCTTTGAACAATTTTAAGTGGCAGTCCGAGTTCTATACATTTAATCCAGAAATACTCTCACAATAAAGAGTGTTTTGTTTCAAGTACTAATGGTGCACTTTCTTTCTTTAACACGGTTGTCAGTCCTGCTGAAGAAACAGCAGCAGGTGCCTCAGTCCTCAAGTGAGTTTGTTTCATTTGACCTCAGGTACCGGTGCTGCCTTTCCTTGTAGAGATAAGGCCACTTTATACGTGCAGACTATCAAACCCCTGTTCATGAGCTCCCCCTGAAAAGCTGGAAGGCCGCAATGAGGTCTTCTCGAGCCCAGCTCCCTCAGCCCGTCTTCACAGGAGAGGTGCTCCAGCCCTGAGTATCTTCGTAGCCCTCCTCTGCTGTGACACAGACCCATTGATTCATTTGCTAACGTGCACCCTGCTCCTGCCGGCTCACAGCCGCCGCTAGGGGAAGGGAAACGCTCTGAGAAACGGAGGGAGGAGCGCGGACAGCCCTTGCCCACGCTCGGGACGTGGCAGTGCGGCCTTTCCGCTTCCGGGGCTCTTTCCGCAGCTCTCCTCCCGGCTCCGAGATGGCGGCGGCGGCTGGCGGCCCCGGGGCGGCAGCGGCGCTGTGGAGCGAGGTGAACCGCTGCGGCCAGAACGGTGACTTCGCCCGCGCGCTCAAGTCCGTCAACAAGAGTGAGTGAGCGAGAGAGCCCGGCCCGCCGCCGTGTCGTGTGCTCGTGCTGCGTTAGGAAGGGGGGGCTCGGGGAGCGGGGCTGCCCTGGGGAGCCTGGAGGGAACCGAGCCGCCCTCCTCTGCCTGGAGCGGCGTGTCGAATCGGCCTTGCTGGGTTTTGATCGTGCTCACCCCTCCCCCCGGAATTGAAGCGCCCTGCATGGACGTGGGAAAGGTTCCTAATGTCATCACCCAGCACTGCCGAGCCCACCGCTGCACTACGTCCCTCAGCACCACGTCTGCACGTACCTCCACCTGAGACAACGCATCACACCCTTTTGGTGAAGATGTGTGTCCTAATAGCAGCATGTCCCAATAGCCAACCTGAACCTCCCTTGCAACAACTTGAGGCCATTCGCTCTCATCCTTTTGCTGTTACCTGGGGGCAGAGGCCAACCCACACCTCACCACAGCCTCCTATCAGGCAGTTGCAAAGAGCCATGAGGTCTCCCCTGAGCCTCCTCTTCTTCAGACTGAAGAACCCCAGCTCCTTGAGTTGCTCCCCGTAAGACTTGTGGCCCAGACCCTTTCCTCCTGACCGTGCCTTACGTGGCACTGAGACAGATTTTGGCACTGTTCTCTGTCTGGAAGTGAAATGCCAATGAAAAGTTTGCTCAGGTGCGTACAGCTCCTGCGGTGCAGCTCTGTTCCAGGCAGGTTACCATAGCAGTCAGTTCTGTTCAGTGCTTGTATTGAGCTCTTTCATACTGGCAGGGTTTTCTCATGAGCAAGCCATGCCAGAACCCTTTTAAAATGATGCAACTGTTAGATGTTTTTCTCCAGCTTAACTAGTGTATGACACTTTAAAAACTATAGTCTGTCTGCTAGTTAGATCCTTCTGTTAAAACTGTTTTCCCCTCCAGTTCTGCAGATCAGCAAAGATGATGTGACTGCACTTCAGTGTAAAGTGGTATGTCTTATCCAGAATGGGAGCTTCAAGGAAGCCCTCAGTGTAATCAACACCCACACTAAAGTGCTGTCCAGGTGAGTTGTGTCTTAACATAACATCTACAAAATATTAAATTGTGAGCCCCTGATAAGTCCTGCAGCTTCAGGTGGAGGGAACTAATCAGTAACAATAAGAAAAAAAAAAAAAAAAAAACCAACCCAAGAGCAGGAGATGCTCAGAGCCATTGCAGTTGGGGTTCCCAGTAAAATGCTGATTTATTCTGAGCATGAGAGATGCCTGCATTAATCTGAGGTGGTCTACTGGCTTGTTTTTTTATCTAGTAACAGAGATTGTCCTCTATCTGGTTCTAGGTAGTATCTACCTCCATTAGTTGATTTTCCTTATTGATGTGGGTGAGCACCATAGTTAATGGAGGGAAGGAGATGGTTTTTGTGGGAGCAAAGAGAAGAGGGAGAAGAGGGAGAAGCCCTTACTAGTAGCAGCAAGCTGTTAGCTTTGCACAGCCTTCTCATCTGTAATGATGTAATGGAATGTACCACAGTAATCAAGGTGGCAAAGCCTTTGGCTATAGCAAATGAGAACAAGCCCAAATACAGCAACTACAGACATAGAAATGGAAGAAAAGAGCCACATACCTTTGGAAGACCTCAGATAGGTTGGGATCCCCAGAGAGAGATACCCTTGCCTCCACTGCCAGCCCTTAAATGAAATCTGGGAAGGGGTGGATCCTGGATCTACCTCTTCCAGTCACTCAGGTGGATTGCATGCACCTGAGCTCCCCTTGGTTGGCCCTGCCTTCTCACCAGGTGCTGAATCACTTGTTCAGGCCGTGACTTAGCATTTCTGCTACATCATCATACTGCTCTTTGGGGTCATTTTCTTTGCCATACTGATGGTATTTCTTTATCAGGACAGTGCAAGCCCTTTGTATGTGTTCTCCAAATCAAGACCTTGAAGACAACTTGTGTTTTAGTACAAATCAAGTTTCTGTATCCCTTTTATGTCATTAAGCAGATTTAATTCTCTTCCTAATAAAGATACTCATTGTGCAGTGACTGAGATAAGAATTGCTACCCAGGAACTGTGTGGCAGCAGCAGTTTTCTGTTTCAGATACTGTTTTTGTTAAGGAGCTTCCGAGAAAAATGCATTGTAGTATTGAAGTAGTGAAGTGCTTCCATATTTATATTCACATCTGAATAAATATTGTCATCTTATTCACAAATCACTTCTTTCCTGGGATGAAAGGAATCTAAGTCTGTAGCTTGTTTTTCGATATAGGTTGGAGAAGAGAAGTAATTTCCCTAAATTTAACAGGCTTCAAGTTCTCCCTTTTATAATCACAGAATCATAGAATGGCCACGGTTGGAAGGGACCTTAAGGATTATGAAGGATTATGGCATTCCTTCCT